CAAATTATTGTTAAACAAAAAATATATATTTTACAATTTTTGAAATTCAAATTTAATAATTATTTTTTTTTAATTTCTCATTTTTCAACAAATAACGGTAAACTTCAGCTAACTATTTCACGTTCGAATTAATTAATTGTTGTAATTTTAACTTTTAATAATAACGTTTTCCTCAAGCACTTCAACATTTTGGCCACTTAAAACGGTAAATATTTAATTTTCGTCTTTTTATATCAACACTTCACACACACACACACACACAAAGAAATTAGTTGCAATAACAATGCTAATAAAGTTGATAAGTTTTTAGTTACTAGTAAACGTTCATTGCTACTGACCATCTTCACTGGGCTGCCACTGCGTGGTTAACTAGACGATTGAAGCTCTGCAACTGATACTCACACCCAAAGCCTTTAACCATTTATAGACCAGCTCCCTTCTCCAGAGCGGCTTTGGCCGCTAAGCGTCGCTCGGAGCTGTCGTCAAGCGACATTAACTAGTCTTTGTAGGTGCGTGTATGCATGTGAGTGCGTGCGCCCGTGTGACCAGCGCCAATTCAGTGCCAAGTTCGTGAACTCTGCGCCTGCTATCTGTCAGCCCTCTGCGCAGCTGCATTATGACATCTGCCTACCAATACAAATAGAAATAGCAAAACTCATCGACACACACACACGCACACATTTGGACATATGTAAATGGGCATTAACAGCAAAAGCAACGCATTTCGCTACCGTTTCACACGATTTGCATTTGCATTTCTGTTCGGCTTAATTGGTTGATTATCAAGACGACGCTAAGCGCCCGCGGCCACAGACGCAACAACGCCACAATCCAACGGAACGGAAGGGATACACACACCTATAAATATTAACCGAGCAACACTAGTACTACTTATCACAGTTCAATGCTTTAATGCTCAAGTTTATGGCTAGAAGCAGTCTTTAGTCGCTTAGTTGCCACTTAATGGCCGATTCATTGCCCGCAATGTGTCAAAGCTGTGCAACAAATTTACAAAAGTGCTTAATATACGAATATTATATTCATAAGTAGCCATATTATGACTATTTGAGCTGCTCATATTAAAATTGATTGTCTTATTAAATTATTTGCCTTGTTATTGCTAACCTTCCCTTCCTATTGCTTCATTATTATTTATTTCATTTTTAATTTTTTTGTTATTTTTTTTTAGAGTTTGCGCATTTATTTTGTTAGAGAAAGAAAAGTACTATCTTAAAATGATTAAACGAGTACTTTTCACACAAACGAACACACATAAACATACTCAAATACATAATTAGTTGCTATCTCTAATTTACACTCGAGTCGTCTGCGCAAGCGCATTGATACGGTCGCCCACTTCCACTTCTCGCTATGTAAATGAACTTTGATTGTTTCAAGCGCACTCCCAAACAAAAAATTGAAAAGGAAATGGTTACAGTAACTTTGGCTTAATCAATTGTAATTTCATGCGATTTGGAAATCCATTGTTCCAGATGCGCTCCATAAGCAATGAAATACTGACTGAATGAGATAGTTGTTGGAAGTTCACCACGATGTTTGCACTACCCAAAAGGAAACGTCTGCAACCCTGTAAAGTAAACCAGCATGACGAGCTCAGTCGATTTATCCATGACTGTATGTCTTCATATACGCGAATTGATCCCTAACATTTTGAGATGTCGATTTGAAATGCTGAACATGTCCTTTTCTTGCCATGAAGCTGTTCATTTCCGGAACTACCGAAAACTAACATACAACTATAGTATATGCAAGGTGCATTTCAAAGTAAAGTGGACTTAAACAAAAAAAACAGAACAAATGGTTTTTTCGGCAAATTTATTTTATTCAAAATAGTCTCCTTCTGCTTCCACACAGCTTTTTGCATAACGCTTTCCTTTCATGAGCAAATGCTTTTTCCGAAGTGGAAGAAGTCGCACGGTGCCATATCAGGTGAATACGAGGAGTGGTTAATGGTTAAAACGTGATTTTTGGTCAAATATCGTGATCGATCGTGAGAGAAATAAATTTGTGCGGAACAAACCGTGCACATACCTTTCGTAAGTCCAAATGTTCGATCAAAATGCGATAAATTGATGTTTTACCAATTTTAAAACCAAATTTAATGTTAGCTCTTTGTTCGAAGCTCATTTTCGCACCGATAACACAAACATACTGACACTTAAAATGCAATAACTTCACTTCCAATCAATGAAATGTCATGAAAGTCTCATTTTACATTCGATAAAGCAGATTCTAACTGTGGCAGATCCCTTGTAGGGAAATCATTTTTAAGTGGTGATCCATTTCGAGATTCCCTACTTTTTTAACGAAGAAACACCGAAACTTCAAATTGAATGCGAAATGTTTATTATAATTCGAAAAAACATTCGTTGGCATTTATTTTTTGAAAATTATCTTCTTCGCATGTTGGCTGCGGCTACGACTCAGATGGTCCATCCGTTGAATCCAATTTTCGATGACTCGTTCGAGCATTTCGACTGATAACAGTTGAATAACACGCGCGATGTTTTGCTTCAAAGGACTGAATGAATAAAAGTCTGACGGGATGTGTGGGAAGTGGCGCCGCCGTTTTGAAACAAATGTCGCCGATATCACGAGCTTCAATTTCAAGCATCAAATAGTTGGTTATCATGACGCGATAACGGTCGTCATTGACGGTTATGTTCTCACCGGCATTACTGTTGAAGAAAGCCGGCCCACAAACCGCACCAAACCGTTGGTTTTTCTGGATGAAATAGCAGCTCTAGAATCTCTTCAAGTTGCTCTTCGCCCAAAATGTGGTAATATTGTTTGTTTACATACCCATTTGGCCAGCAAAAATTTGTCATTTTGTTTAAAAAAAACTTCTGGTCTTCTTGGAATGTTGATACATTTCAAGAGCCCATAAGCGACTTCAGTTCTTTCGCAAGCTGTTGTTTATGCTTTCATTTAAGATCTTGACGTAAAATGTGCCAAATCGTTCCATACGTCCGTCTGGGTTGTGCCGAATCGACTCTCCTCGGTCTTCGTGTACGCTCTTAGCTACGACTGCCATATTTTCCTCGCTGCGTGATGAACGTGCTGTATTCGGTCAAATAGTATCCAATAATGCATACTGGTTCTCAAGATGAGTGATGGTGTTGCGAATAGTACGCTTATTACGCCGATTATGTTGACCTTAACAGGAAAGACATTATTGGAAGAACGTGAATTTTTGTAGTAAAGCTGAACGATTTTTAAACGTTGTTCAGCAATAAGCCTTTCCATGATGAAATGACAAATAATAAAGAACAAAAATAACATGACCGCTTGACACGACTCACTGGTGATCTTTCATAAAAAAAGCTGTTGAAGTACCTCTACTTGGATCACTCGTTATAAATCCTAGCTTCCAATAATACTCAAAATTTATATGTTCGTAATTTTGTTTGCTTTTATAGTATATATTTCGGTCAGTGTGGAAATATAAACGAAGACATTCTGAAGTAAGTGGATGTAATTTGTCATACCGTTCCAGCCTCCCACATATCTAATTTTTATATTTTCGGCTCTCCCTTCTATATTATTTCCGAATATATTAGTTGTTGTATAGGATATTTGAGTAGATAATGCATAGAAGAACAGCCAGTGAAGTTTGCTGATAAAAATTTTGAAAATCGCCAAATATTTCATTGTTCAAATAGCTTCGCCAAATATTTTCGCGCAAAAAAAAAAAAAAAAAAAATTCGCGCATTTCGCATTTTGTCTCCAACTCCGCTTCCATTTCCAATCCAAAGCTGATTTTGCAAGCAAATTTCTATTGTGCACATTAAGTGGCTTCGCTTTAATTTATGCTTTTCAATTTGTGCAGCAATAGCCACTAGTTGCTCTTTGGTCCGAGCACAATTCATGTGTTCGTCTTGTCATTTCGGAAATTTAATTCGGTCAAAGCAATCGCGTTGCACATTTTTGCCATTTCTAAACGAAGATAAAATGTCATTTTAATTGGTTATCATTTTAAATTTGCTGTGATGGCGCGCTGTTAACGCCCATCATACTCGATGCTCAGAGCATTTATCGATTGGGGAAAGGTGTGGAGTTTCACTTGGTTAAGTACATGTGTGTGTGTGTGCGTTTCCGTTTGCGGAGTTGTAAGTGGTTGGCAAATTGTTTGATTTTGCTTTTAGTTTTTTGCAAACCACTTAATCATTGGAGACGTTTCGACTATTAATTAATAAAAAGGTTTAACTCTGTGCGATTAGGTAAACTTATTAGCATGTGGCCTTTAACAGTTAAGTGGTGTGCGCGTATCTTTGCTGCAAAATGAAAGGAAAATGAAGTTAATTAAACTTCACCGAGCAATTTTATTTTTCCATGTAACTAAACGCACTCGATTGGATTTTGAATTGGGTTAAATATATTGGTAGTACTCCAAAAATATTTTATTTCCAAAAGCAATAATAAATTGCCTGACACCTTTCGTTAACGTTTGTCCAAGTTTCAGCTGCTGATTTTGGGATTATTTTCATCTTATTCCGCAAAGCAAAAGTTGTACAGGTGTTAAGCCAGAGGCTTCAGAGCAGTAGGGTTCTATGTATTAAGAAAATATACCAAGAAGCCTGATTGCTTATTGCCATTGGAATAGAATTTCCTACAGATATTGTTCCAAACAAGTTCTACTTGACTTTCTGACAGACGTTAACTCACTCAACCGATTGGGCTGCGTCAGTTATACCACGATACTCAAATACGGATTTCAAAGACGCAACTGATCTGCTTTTAGCGTATTTTAGTGGCAAAGTGTCGCAAGTTATATTAGTAATCTTCGGGTCTAATTTTTTGGTTCAGGGCTCTTCATTAACTTCGGATTATATTTTTTAATTATCAAGAAGTTTAAAATGATATTGTTTCAATTTCAAATCTAATCCATAGCTTAGTCTAATCTGTGAATTTAGTGTTGACAAACTTAAGTTGTTGTAATTATCGTTCTTACTGAGAACTAATCTCAACCGGAAAAAAGTTTCTTAATAAGAGGCGTTTGTTAATTTCGAGGGACGTAACAAAATTTTGAGGAAGATTACGCCAAATTTCGAGACGATACCTTATCAAATAATGGGTGACCCAAGTATGCATGAGTCTTATGGTCAACATAATCGGCCTACTGAGCGTACTATTCGCAACACCATCACCCATCTTGAGAACCAGTATTCATTATTGGAGACTATTTGACCGAATCCAACACGTCCATCACGCAGCGAGAAAAATATAGCAGCCGTAGCTAAGAGTGTACACGAAGACCGTGGAGAATCACTTCGGCGCCGTTCGCAGCAACTTGGACTGACTTATTGAGCGACTTGGCGCATTTTACGTCGAGTTCTTAAATTAAAAGTGTTAAAAATATAACTTGTGGAAGAACTGAAGTCGAACGACCCACCCAAGCAACATCTATGGGGTCTAGGAAATTTACAAGAAAATCCGACGTTTTCGAGCCAAATTGGGATGAAGAGCAATCTGAAGAGCTTCAAGAGCTGCCATTTCATCCATAAAAAACAACTGTTTGGTGTGGTTTGAGAGCCGGTGGAATCATCGGTACATATTTTTTTCAAAATGATGCCAGTAAGAATGGCATTTTTGCAAAATATATTCAATTTTTCATACAACCCTTTCATAAAATGATGGATCTTTCTGGCTTGCCCTACGAACTGCTTCGTCATACTTCAAACAAACCCCAGTTTTAGTTTTTTTTTTGCATATTCTCTTAACATTCATTTGCATAACGGATTAATTATATTTAAATACAATCTGTATATTAATCGAACAGTTGATTAAAATTTCGACAGATGTCAAATTTCGTATATCAAATCAATTAGTTCAACATTAATATAAGTTAGTTGTAATAAAACAGGTGTTAGTTTGAATTATGAGAGTGGAAAAATAGACAAACACACAAACTCCTACGCATATAGGTATATAAAGTGGTATATATATGGGCATTTACATATATATTATGTACATAATGTATATTCATGCACATATATGTGTATATTCATGTTTACGCGAACTGTTTCGTATGTGAGCGTTTTTATTGCTCAAGGCCATATGCAATTCGGTACAACATACATATCTATATATATGTTGATATATGTTTATGTAAATCGGTTAAATTATGCACCTACTTACATATATTTGCTTAAAATCATGTTTAGGCATAAAATCCGATGTATATATGCTAATGTTGCTGTGAACTGGACCAACTAAATTCAATTTGTGGCAGGTTTGTGCTATAAAAGTGAATGTATTTATGCGATTTTGACTTAATGACTTAAAAGATGCATCAAAACAAAGAAATAGTGTAAATGTTTCAATAAAACAAGAAATGTTCATAAATCTAATTAGGTGGCGACATCTCTACGTGTTGTTGTTCGATTTGATAATTGCGATTTATATGCTATGTAAAATACATAAGAGGTTTTTTTATTTTAGTAGATTTTCTAATCTTGTTTTTGATCGGTTTCGAAATGTTTTAAATTTAAAATGATAGGCCTCTGTTAAATCTCCTCCTCTGTTTAAATAGTCTATGTATGGTTTAGATGTGACGATATTGTGAGGAAATTATAATTTTGCACAACTTTGCATTAACTTAAATAGATTTGGGGGTAATCAAATCGCTGATAAGCAGGAGAGAAACAAATCTATTGCGGTAATGTTCAGATTTCATTATGTCAAATTTATTGACAGTCGCTGTCAACTAACTTAAGGGGGTATTCTACTCTAGAAGTTTGAAAAATTCGATTTTTTTTTATATATTTAAAGTCTAGACTCTTAAGAACATATCCTCCAAAAGATTTTTAAAAATTAAAATTATTTTAAGAGCTACAGTTACTTTAGTGAAGATACTGCCGGTACTGCCTGAAGGTACTGCCTGAAATTTGACTCACTTTTTTAAACGCGTTTTTCTCGAAACTACTTTTTTCCACACAGTACCGGCATTATCTCAAGTTCTATACAACCGATTTACTTGAAATTTTGTGTGAACCTTCCTTATATAATCCTTTATCGTTCCTACCAGCATCGTGTCAAAATTTTAGTTTTTAATATTTTAAAAAAATGCAGGAATTTCAAAAAAAAGGCGTAAAAAATGATTTTTATTTTCAGGCAGTCGCCATTTTTCAAAAAAAATTTTTTTTTTGTCTTCCCTGAAATAGGGACTATAACAGCATCCTTACTGATTAAAAATTTCTTTTGATTTTTTTTTCAGACCACCAGGAGATTCAATGCCACCAGGACGCGCCATTCTTTTACACCTGTCTCTCCTCCCCCTCTAATTATTTTAATTTTTAATATTTTTTTGGAAATTTTTTTTTCTGTATTCTTAAGATATCAATAAAAACACCATAAAAAAATGGATGGTAAAAATATTTTTGTGTTTTTTTTTGTAAATAAAATTCAAAATTTGATTTCTAGAGTAGAATATCCTCTTAAAACATTTGTAATATCAAGCGAAGACCCTAAAAATGTCAGCGAAGCGGCACCATTATGACAAAATTGGGACTACAGATTAGGCTTCAGTCAGACCGTACCATAGAGGAAACTTAAAAAAAAAATACTCATCGTAGGGGTACTACTCCTTTTAAAGGCGAAATACATTTCGTTAAAAAAATTGCGCTAAAAAGTGTTTTGTTTTAAGCGAAATAAGTAAATATGTCATTAAAATATATATACGATTGCATTCGTAATTTATTGTCACGATAAAGCCTACGCCATAAACAAATGTAGATATAAATAGTTAAGAGTCGTAATAGATTTGCTTTAATAGCGGCATATCTACTTAGGCCACTCAACGCCGTGAATTAGCAATGAATTAACCCAAACGATTCACGCATTGAAACCCGAAGCAAGCTCGCTATCAGAGTTGCAAAAAACAAATAAAAAATTGCACGCATGATTGGCGACAAAGCCTAAAGATGCTTGGAATTAAATTATTGACTTGAAACGCTGCAGATTGGCGTGAAGCGAAGACTTGCCGCCAGATTTATGGTTACAACGTCACAGCTGATGCGTTAAGCGAGGTCATAAAGTGGCAAATTCCAATTCAACCACTAACTTCGAGTGCCGGGGAGAGAGAGAAAGAGAGGGATTGTGAACATGGAATGGATGCTTGTGAAGTCTAAAGCGGTGAGCGCAAAGCGTTGGTGGGTCTCAAAGACAAAATTTTGAAAAAATAGAAAAATAAAATTAAATAAAAATTAAGAAAATGGGTCACGAACTAGTCCCACCAGCTGTCATTTATCAGATATAAATGTAAACCAACCGATTTGTTACTATTAAGCTCATTTTGGGCTGTGAAAATATGTACGCCCAACACGCTTTACTGTTATTTCGACATCACGCAACTTGCTTGATTTATTAATGATGTACTCACACCCTTACAAATATTAATATTCATTCAAATAAATAAATTATTAAGTAGCAAAATGAAATAGAAATGTTTTACATAAGTCTAAGTGTTACACTTTCGCATTGCTTCGTCCGCTGAGTGATAATATGCTAATCGATTCAGCGCAATCAAAGTCTCGAACTATGCAAAAATTAGCATTAAAAAATCATTTTAAAGTAAAGGCAATTCCAAAATAGGATTGAGAAAAAAATTATTTGGGCTTGTCGTAGACATAACCACCATTTGCGCCATACACTGTATCGCTGGCTATGCGCGTCGTAAGCACACGAGTGTTGAGGCCGTCTATGGGCTGTGGTGTGTTGAAATCGCCGCCAGACTGTTGTTGTGAAGCTGTTTGGTATGGTATGCCGGGGAAACCGCCCCCTTGTGATGGGAAGCCTTGACCTGGGAAACCTGTGCCGGGAAATCCAGCTCCCGGAAAGCCAGGTCCTGGAAAGCCTTGGCCAGAGAAACCCTGTCCAGGAAAAACTGCTCCCGGGAAGCCCTGTGCTGGGAAACCTTGGCCAGGGAAGGTAGCTCCCGAAAAGCCCTGCCCTGGGAAACCTGCACCCGGAAAACTTTGGCCAGGAAAACCTTGTCCAGAGAATCCTGGTCCAGAGAAGCCTGGTCCAGAGAAGCCTGGTCCAGAGAAACCTTGTCCAGGGAAACCTTGTCCTGCGAAGCCTGGTGCTGGAAAACCTTGTCCTGAGAAACCCTGTCCCGGGAAGCCTGCTCCAGTGAAACCTTGACCCGGATATATTGGCCCACCAAAGCTAGGTGCAAATCCAGCGCCTGGAAAGCCACCAAAGCTGGGTTGGAAGAATGGATCGCTCGCAGACTCACTGGCTGTGTTATCATCTGTGGAGCTTTGGTGTGCTGTTGCAAGGGGCTCATTATCTAGCGATTGCTCGACATCCTTTAAAGCATGTGAGTTACCATTGGCCGATTCGTCAAGTAAAATAACATCCAGTTGAGCCTGTGGTACTTCATCGTGTTGTACTGGTGGTTGCTGCGGCGCTGCAAGTTCTTGACTTGGTGCAATGTGATGTGGTTTACTGTGGTAAGGAGGCAAGTAAGCGAGTTTCAAATGGCTGACATCGGCGATACTCAACGCAATGAGAGCATGGAAGATAAGTAATTTGGAAAGCTGGCAACCAAAAATCACGATATTAATTTGTAGTCTTCGAAAAAAAATCTTTAAAACTTACCATTTTCTATTAGGAGAGCGCAAGCGTGCCGCATGCGTGTAGAACTTAGAATGCGTACTAAATTCAGATTGCTTTAAGTTGGCTAGTTTTATAGTTTTTCTCCGTCGAAAAAGTTATTCAACTCTTAGTATTTATTTTCTTGCTTTCTTCGCCCCGACTTTCTTATGCTAACAAATGTGGTCTAAGAACGCCAATAAAGGAGAATAGCGATTACTTAAATGGTGGCTAATTTCGCGTAGGTATTACAGGTAGCTTCTTCGATTCTTAAAGAACCAATGTTAAGTTTTAAGTGTAGTTTTTTTGGTACTTCGCTGACCTCTTTCTTCTTTTAAAGCATTAACCTAAAGAACTGTCCAAAAACATTTAACGAGTGCGTCTTCAAATTGATCTTCTGCTTTTTTTGATTGGCATCTTTTTGTTTTCTTCGTCAATTTAATGACTAAATTTAGTTATTTGTGCGCCTAATCAGTCAATCTTGATGGTTTTTCGTGCCTAATTTCCATATCGCAGCATCTTAAATTAATAGTTTTATATTCACTTGGCATTATACCATGAGGCGAACGTTGACAGAAGACAGTGGCGAAAAAATTTAACAGAATAATGAAATAGTGTGCGTAGAGCAGAGGCTGTGCATATTTAGTAGGCTAGTCTTTTATATAATTTTGCTTTCGTAACCCCTTCTTCATATTGCATAAAGAAGGGCATTGGCGTTTCGGACTTTAAGCGCCTAAAAGTAGACAAAATCAATAAATTGGTATAAGTGGTCGTTATCAATTTTAAGAAAGAATGAATTTATGAATTTAAAAAAATCAAAAGACATTTAGTGTACCCTACAAACTAATTGAACAATTTTTAGGGTAAACTAAATTTCTTTTGATTTGTGGTTGGCAATTGGTGAGTAGATTTTGCTGAAATTTATACCCGACCGCCTCGAAAAATGCCAAATATTTTGAAAATTTTGTTTCTTTCATAAAATTTTGAATTTTTCTGTCTCTTTTTAATATTATCTTCGATTGACAATTTATATATTTTTGAGACTAAATTAGAGCAAATTATGAAAACCGGGTACAATAGTTTTCCGAAAGGTTTGCAAAAGAGCTGAGAACCTTTTGATAGTCTAAGAAAAATCAAAGAACTTTTATAAAAAAAAGAAACTCAGCTGAGGTCCTTTTGAAAGCCTAAGAAAGATTAAAGACCATTTATAAAAAACGGAGCTGAGGACCTTTGAATAATCTAAGGAAAATCAAAGAACTTTTATTAGAAACTGAGCTGACGACCTTTTGATAATGTCAGGATAATTAGAAAACTTTTATATCCTTTGAGAACCTCTTTATAGTGTCAGAGAAATGAGAGAACTTCATAAAGAACAAAGGTGAGGTTCTTTTGATAAAGTCAGAGAACGGAAAACTTTTTATTAAAGACAGATAAGTAAATAAAATCAAAGTACTTTTTTCCGAAGTTCCGTCTAATTTCATAAAACCATATTTAGAAAACCTATAGAGTGGAATTTAATTCTAGCCGATAATTATCGAAAAATAATGTTTTCGATTATTAATAAATAAAAACTCCTGGACCAATTAATTTTTTAAAACAAAAATTTATTTTATTGCAATAACAAAAACTATCTACACTATTTAAGCTATTCAAAGTGAATGAGGTAGTACAAAGTGTTTTCATGGTTTAAGTATGATGTACCTAGGGCAATTCAACAATAAACAAAATATTGCCAAGGTATTCTATATACAAAAACGATTCGACGAATCGCAGTTTCAAGCGATTTACTTTCTTCTGTAGACGTAGCCACCGTTGGAGCCATACTGGGTGCCAGCACTGCCGCCAGAGTATGAGGGGCCAGAAGGACGACCGCTAGAGTAACCGCCAGCGCCGCCGCTATAGTAAGAGCCACCGGCACCACCAGCACCGCCGCTGGAGTAACCACCGGCAGCGCCACTTGAGTAACCACCAGCGCCGCCACTTGAGTATCCACCAGCTCCGCCGCTTGAGTAACCACCGGCACCGCTAGCTCCACCATATGAGTAACCTCCAGCACCACCGGCACCGCCGCTTGAGAAACCGCCAGCACCGCCGTTAGAATACCCACCGGCACCGCCGCTGGAGTAACCGCCAGCGCCTCCACTTGAGTAACCACCGACACCGCTAGCTCCACCATATGAGTAACCTCCAGCACCACCGGCACCGCCGCTTGAGAAACCGCCAGCACCGCCGCTCGAGAATCCGCCTCCGCTACCGCCTGAAGAGTAAGATGGACCAGAGTAGACTGGAGCTGGAGCGGGAGCAGAGTAGACTGGAGCAGGTGGTGAATAGCTTTGTACAGGAGGCAAGTATTCCTCGGATGGAGCAGAGTATCCAGAACCACCACTGGAGTAAGAACCACCAGCAGAACCGCCAGAGAAACCAGCAGAGCCACCAGATGAGTAAGAACCGCCTGATGAATAGCTTGGACCAGCTGAACCACCGCTGGAGTATCCACCACCGCTACCGCCTGAGTAGTATGATGGAGCAGAGTATACTGGAGCTGGAGCTGGAGCGGAGTAGACTGGAGCAGGTGGTGAGTAGCTTTGCACAGGTGGCAAGTATTCGTTGGATGGACGAGTAGCACCACCTGAAGAGTATGAACCTCCAGCACCACCTGAGGAGTAAGAGCCGCCAGCACCACCCGAAGAGTATGAACCACCAGCACCACCCGAAGAGTAGGATGGACCACCATAATTGGAAGAGGGTGGCAAATATTCAGTTATTGGAGCCGGTGCGGGACCATGGCTGTGGCCGTGACCGTGTCCGTGACTGAGTCCGCCATGACTAGGTGGCAGGTATGATCTCGACAAATGGCTGACATCAGCTGAAGCAATGGCGACCAACGCAAGAGTGACTACAACGAAGAGTTTCTGAAATTAAAGAAAAGTAAGTTTGTGGAGAAACATTTGGTCGTTAGAAAGCATAATCTCAGATTTCAAGATCTTAAGACTTCAGCTTTATAATAATTTGTCGAGTTCACCCACCATTTCGTTCCGATGAGTTGTGGTCTGTTCGAAAAGGAGGAGACTTCTTTGCTATACAAAGAAAACGTTGGAACTGATGCTCTTCCACCAATTGTCTCACCAATTTATACAAAAAATGTATGCTTACATGCTTATTATGTTTTTGCGGCACAAATGACCTCCGTCTCACACACACTCACACATTACTACCGTTAAACGTAACGCGACCTCTGCAATCACATAACACTTGGCGATGAAGTTAGGTCCGCTAAACGAGTTTCAACGATTTACAATATGTATGTACGAGAAATGTGATAATGCTTCGTAATATCACCAAAGCAAAAAATGCAAAAATACAAAATCTAATAAAACTGACAATAAAATAGGTGAAAATAGTGGTAAAGAGATTACACCAAAAAACATAGTTGGTAAGTGTTTCACTTTATAATTCTCACAACATCGCCAACATATCCTCGAAGTTAGTGATTGATTTCATGCTCTCATGGAGAGGATAATATATTTTCTAGATCTTCCTACATTAATTTATCTAAAATTACCACAAGCGAGCAGCCTAACGAAGGACCTGGACCAAATTAAGATATCAAGTCCATCAATATTGGTCAAATCGAAGGGCTCGAAAATATTGACCTCGTCGTTTCGTGCAGCTATAGTTAATCTGTTGCAGAGTGAACTAAGAGAAATTCTAGTTTCCTATGACACATCCAAGACCATAAAATAGTAAAAAATTATCCATCTCACACTAGGATTAGTAGTCCTTTGAAATGCTAAATGGAGGTTCAGTTTAATTGCTGAAGTAGCCGTCATGCCGGACGTCAATGTTTCTTGCGCATTTTAAGGGCGACTTGATATCTAATTATGCAAACAACCTGCCATCTGCTGTCCTTTCGAAACCGTGCGAGTAAAAAATAAGCGTGTTTTTTTGTCAGCCCTTTTGGAAATTTCATTGTAAATCGTTTTTAGTGACTTCTGTATTGGTTCGGTAACAATACGGAAGACACTTTTGGCAATGCCATCAGATATTGCGTTTCCCGAAATTCCTTTGTGGTCTGGAAAAAAGTATATATAAATGGGAGATTATAGCATTAATTGCCGATCGCTATCGATGTATATATTGATCTTTCCTGATCGCAAAGATTTCCTCCTGTAAATTCAGTATTCGAGAAGCTGGAAATGTCACCTGAGATCCAAGGCTGAGCAAGATATTCCGACTTCCATTCTATTAGCCATTCTTGATTCTATGCTCGAAGGCTCTTATACAGAACTCACCTAACGTCACCAATCCTCCACTTCAACGGCAAGATTAACTTGAGTACCGCGGTGTAACATCAACGCATGAGGCCCGGGGTAGACCAAATGTGGAATCTATCATCCTCTTACACGCTTACGGCACCTTTTTCACCTTCACCTCCACATTGAGTTTCCACTTCAGTTTGCTATCCAAGATGACGTCTAGATATTTGGTATGATCATTAACTGTTAATTCAACTTCTTCTTTCGCAATTTGGCGCCAATTCGAGATACCAAGTGCAACTAGATGCCCTCTCCACCTGATCTCTCCAACGAACTGGAGGTCTTCTTCCTTCTCTGTTGGCCTCGACGGGTACTGCGTCGAATACTTTCAGACCTGGAGTGTTTTCATCAATATGGACGACATGACCTAGCCAGGGAGCGGAGGACGGAGTCATGTGTAAAAGTTCTCTAAGAACCATTCACCTGGGAATGGCTAGAAACGATTGTTGTATATATGACTCAAGTAGCGTTCGACTGACGGTCTTAGACCAAGTATCCTGTAAAGTGAGAACGCGAAACATTCTCTCCGCAGAGTTGTGCGTTGGGTTTGGGACTTGCCACATAAAAAAACACTACCATTGAAGAGAAGGAAACAAGCTTATCGGCTTTTATCTCTAACTAAATTGTGCCTATGAAGTTGGCCGTCAAGTGCTATTAAAGTTCACTAAAAGCTTTCTGAAATGTCCATGTTAACGTAGTCCTCAACAAGTGATCGTAGATCCGTTCTAAGTTGGTATGGACTATTTGAGTGTGGGATTTTTCTTTGACAAAGTATGAACTAAAGTCCTCTTCTAAGTCTCTCAATTATTCCAAGAACTTTGTTATTCTCTCGAATACGGCACATATTAACTTCACTCCGACAGGGAAGTGGGATTTAGCTATTCATAATAGGTATTTACGATCAATTCGTTATCAAAAAGATCACATTCTATCGCATGTTTGAGGAAGCAGGTAACGCATACCAAAGCAGCTCCTAAGTAGAAAAAAGAGACTAGTATCGGGATCTACTGTTGCATTAAAATGTGTAGGCGCTTGACCCCGCTTGGCACTTGTAAATTTTTTAACATATATGGAGTTAGTGGTCAGTGGTTCAGGTGGGTAGCTGTGCAGCCCCTTAAAGTCAGTGCCATTGCGCTTGCCATTGATGCACACATTTAGTTTATGCATTTATGTATTTAGTGTTGGCGTGTGTGCGGCCTCGAGAGGTCGCACAGTGAAAATTACTGCCGCGAACTACAAAACTAAAAATGTGAGCTTGCCGATGCAAATTGTTTGCAATTAAAACTACAAAATAGAAACGAATTTGGATTTAATTAATTTTTTTAATTAATTTCGTTTTTTGCACTTGATGCGCCATGGCATCTGGCATCTATGTCGCGTAGTGGCCGACAAAGTCAAGTCAACTAAATGTTTCGTATATTAAACATATGTTAATTTAAGTTAATGATGGCGAAAAAAATGCGAATGCGAAAATTATAATGTTATAAGTTATGATAAAGTTGTCGTCGTTTCTTTTCGTGAAAATAATAAAAATAAATATTAAAGTGAACGCGCCGAAAAGGGAGTGTCTGCCATAAGCGCTGTGATTAAAAGTTAAATCAAAACCAAAATAGAAAAATTAAAACGCTTCAAATCAACAAATGGTGTCAAAATTTTATCAGACACAGTAAAATGCCGCAACGCAGCAAGCATAATTTCGCATGAAAACGATGTTTATAGTTTAGTAACTCAGCACTGAAAGGTTTAGGCCCAAGTTAAAGTGAGCTTAAGGGGGCGCTAGAGATTTATAAGCGCTGTGGTAGCATTTTGTTCATTCTAAATCAACTTTTTATGGCAGTAAAAAGTATTACCAAGCATTTGTAAAACATAGTTTTGTTACTTCTCAAACCTTCACAAACCACCTGAGCTACGAACTCGTTATTGACAACCCGAAAGCCCCTGTACAAGCACACAATGTACTGCTAATCAAACTTGTATTGCATTACCGGCAAACGAGCCGAGTTGCGCCGCTTAGTCGCCTTGCTGACTAGCGCGCTGGCGTGAGTGGGCGCGTATGCGTATACCACTGAACTGTGTATTTGTGTTAGTGGCGCGCTCTAATGACTGCCTACTTAGCGGCGCGCAAAGTTGAGACTCGAATGTTTGCTAATTCAAGTTGATTAGAAATAAAAAGAAAATTAATGCATAAATGCATTTCAACTTCACAGTTTGATTATATTCACTTTATGCAAATTTCTCTTACGGCTTCATTGAATTTCTCTTCGGGTTACATGCATTTCTTTCATTGTCTTTTTTTCCGCAAAACCCTTTACACACATACTAATGTATCTTTCCAAAACTTACATAATTTGTTTGTCATGCCTAAGCGCTCGCTGGTCAAACAATAAAATCGTCGATAGCGCCATCAGCAATTAATCCACTTTCTTGGATGCGGAAATACCGAATGAACTTAAAATCACATGCACGTGTTGCCACTAACTGTAAAGTTATAGCTGAGAATCCGAAACGTGTCCGACATTTGGTAAACTTGTCTATACAATGCTCTAGACTGAAGAGGATCGGTGGAATGATGTACTGGGTTGCAAAACAGCAAAAGTCATGGAAAAGCTATAGATCTTAAATACAGAAAGTTTCTACGAGACTCGCGGAAATCGTAGGAGCATGGTTATAATGAACAGTGGCCATAGTCTAGGGCTATTAATAGCAAAGAATGAAATATTCCTTCTCAGCTTTAAAGAAACAATAAAAGAAAAGATACTATACTGCAATAGGCGTCCACTAGCATATAATTGAGACGACTTGAGCGCTATTGTGGACTTGGCCAAAATGTTGAAGATTGTGACCACCCCAATAGGTAAGAAGAAGAAGTACGATTTTTTTCTGTTAAAAGGAAGGAAATATTAATGGGCTTTGAAATAACATTGTGGTTTTAACAATATATGGGTTTCTAAAAGAAATTTTCTTATTTCCAAAAGTGGAATGTAATGCAGATCGACTCCTCGTAGGGCAGCGATATTAGACTTGGGCTTTGCGATTTTGACCTCCAGACCTGTGAACTAATGTCTATACTTCTTATTTCCAGCAACGGTTACTGCACAATGAAACTGGTATGGGTACTAAGCAACAGCGGTATTGCAGGAAACTGCATGGCTGATGAGTTTGCATGGATATACTTTAGTCAATAACTGGATAATATGAACAGGTAGGAACTCCATTGGCTTATTGTGATTCTTTAATAAGTATCCCTTAGGACAGTCAGCAAGCGTTGGTCAACTGCTAATAGCTGTGCAGTCGCACGGGCAAAAACTTGCCCAGAGTAAATGGTACGAGATCTAATGAACTCTTCGCTCTTAGCAAAGTCCATTTTCAATGTTTGTAGGAGTTTTAATTGGATACTGTTCCATCGGAATTCATGTGGTAAAATTGAAGATGTCAGTTGCTTCACCTGTTTGATAGAAGCTGATACAGAAATATCTCAACACTTCTTCCTCATATGTTTCGCCTTGGCCAGATTAAGATCAAAACACTTCGGAATTCATACTTTTACACATCCAGAAGAAATGAGAAAATATAAATAAAGCTCTTAAGCAAATTTGTGAGAGGTGCGGGACGGTTTGCCGATAGCTGATGACTACTCTTGGAGTTTTTCAGCTGTATTCATAAAGGACAGTCCGTATAAAACAGTCTAAATATGATCTCCAACCCATATGGAATTATCAGCCATCTAAAGTAACCTAATTTAAATAATTATCGCTGAAGACACTGCTAATCGTCCTTAGAATAGACGCATGATATAACACTTAAGAGCAGATACATTGTAGACTCAATATCTGGACACCACCACTCGTACTAAATTAGAATATGTGTACTAGATACTAATATTCTAAATAAGTTCACTCTGGATCTCTTCTTAGGTACAATATGTATCAGCATGAGGAAACTGATTGGTTATTGATTTTTGTTCTGAAAATAACTCTTACGGGGTAAAAGAAATCTATTTAGGTATGATTCCTTCTTCGGACCGAAGTCAACCGCCTTCACTCAACTACACTATGGATCTGATAAGAATTATCATTTTCGCACTTTGTAGATTTTGAACTCAGCAATCATATTCATGTAGTTAGCTTTCCCTTAAGATTTAGTTATTTCCAGTCAATGTGTAAGTTACGACTATTAACAAGTTGTAAATACATATATTATATTATAAGACCCTTCGAAAGCTGTGTCCCTGTCCACGAAAGCTCTTAGCCAAGCTTCTAACCATTAATATAGCAAATTAGCAAAGCTCAGAACCCATTGGAGTAAGACAGGCGTCTTAAACTTGCTGTCATGTTGAAGCTGTTACTTCATCAATTTCTTTGTAAAAAGTTGCATAATTTTTTACCTTCGTAATAGGAATATGGGCTTGCCTACTGTAACGTAAAAGCAAACTTTCGCAAATATTTACATATCAAAGCCAATATTGCCATCAAAAGATTGCAAGAATGAGACAAAGCAAATATGATGCGAGACTCTTGTAAACAAACGCTTCAACAGAAGCAGGTGTTAAAACAGCTAAACTCGGGTTTAGAGAATTTCAAGAGAAGCGTTTTAGACTTACTTTTTCTATCTTCAATACCTATCTGTTATAATTACGTTTTTGTACTGTCGCAATAATGCAAAGACTTTTGATGTAGGTGAGCTATAGCCTAATACGATTTTTGATTTTTTTCTTTAACCAAAATATTCGAATTAAAAAACCACAAATTTTTAAATATAAAATTAAAATGGATTTAATAAAAAAGAGTTTACTATTTACAACATATTGTTTGAGAGCAATGAGATGGTTGTTTGTGACTCGTATGTATGAACTACTTAAAGTAATACAACAGTAAAAGCAAAAAAAAAAAACAAAAAAAAATATTCCTACGGTGTCTTAAGCACAAAAAAAAGTACGACTAATCACAGTTCCAAGCGATTTACTTCTTTTTGTAGACATAACCACCGTTGGAGGCATATTGGGTACCAACATCGGCGCCAGAGTACGATGAACCGCCCGACGAGAAGGATGAACCGCCCGACGAGTAGGATGAACCACCCGATGAGTAGCTTGGAGCAGCTGGAGCCAAGTAAGTGTTAGATGGGCCAGAGAATCCAGAAGAACCACCGCTCGAGTATGAACCGCCGCTGGAGTAAGAGCCACCAGCAGAACCACCAGAGATGCCAGAAGAAATACCACCAGATCCACCGGATGAGTATGAACCACCTGATGAGTAGCTTGGAGCAGCTGGAGCCAAGTAAGTGTTGGATGGGCCAGAGAATCCAGAAGAACCACCGCTCGAGTATGAACCGCCGCTGGAGTAAGAGCCGCCAGAGATACCAGAAGAAATACCAGCAGAACCACCAGATGAGTAAGAACCGCCTGATGAGTAGCTTGGAGCAGCTGGGGCCAAGTAACTGTTGGATGGGCCAGAGAATCCAGATGAACCACCGCTCGAGTATGAACCGCCGCTAGAGTAAGAGCCACCGCTACCGCCTGAGGAGAATGATGGAGCAGAGTATACTGGAGCTGGAGCTGGTGCAGAGTAGACTGGAGCTGGTGCTGGAGCAGAGTAWACTGGAGCTGGAGCTGGTGCAGAGTATACTGGAGCTGGAGCTGGGGCAGAGTACACTGGAGCTGGAGCTGGAGCTGAGTAGACTGGAGCTGGAGCTGGGGCAGAGTAGACTGGAGCAGGTGGAGAGTAGCTTTGTACAGGTGGCAAGTATTCGTTGGATGGACCAACAGCACCACCTGAGGAGTATGAACCACCAGCACCGCCTGAAGAGTATGAACCACCAGCGCCGCCTGAAGAGTAGGAACCACCAGCACCACCCGATGAGTAAGAACCACCAGCAGCGCCACCCGAAGAGTAAGATGATGGTGGCAAGTACGTCCTCGACAAATGGCTGACATCAGCCGAAGCGAAAGCGACTAAGGCAAGAGTGGCAACAACGAAAAGTTTCTGTAATCAAGCAAGAGAGATTGAATGAGATAAAGAGAGCACAGTAGACGGTATGTGTTTGAAAAGAGTATGAATTTTGAGCCGGATAATAGCCGTTATATTTGGTACATTTTATAGACGAATTAAAAAAATATTAAAAAACTGTAGTTAGGGAAATTTACACGCTTAGTAGTCCAATGTTTAAAATTTTTTTTAAAAACATTATTTAATTTTTTTAAGTACACTTAACAGTTCTGTTCCACAATGAAATGTTTTATAGGTTATAACTATTTTTGTGAACCAGTAGGCACTAAGATGACACTTTATCACACGTGCAACATCGTTTTGAGTACAAAAAAGTCGTATCCACTCCAAAAGCTCTTAATTTGATAACAGACAAGCACTTCTACACTTATCAAGAAGGACTTAGCGGTAACTTTGTAGTCACAATACAGTCACCTTATGATTTTTAAAACAAGAGTCAAACTATAATTTTATTTAAATTGTTTGTTTTTTTCTCGTACACCCACCATTTTGCTCCGATGATTTAATGTGTGGTCTATGGGAAAGGATGAGACTACTTAGCTGTACGAAGAAACCGTTGGAACTGATGCTGTTCCCCCAACTGACTGACCAATTTATACAAAAATTATGCTTACACGCGAAATACGATTTCGATGTCCAAATCACCTGCCCGCTTACAGCGTACCCCGCAACCACCAATGACACCATCAACACCGGCCGCAACACTCTAGCACGGCAGCAGCGGTGGCAGCATAACGCTGCGCCACGCAACGACGACGCGACGCTAGGGCCGGCAAACAAGTTTTAGTGATTTACAATGCATACAACAACATTTAGATAAATAACAACATTTAAATGCTACCTAGAGACCCCTAAAAAATCCAAAAGCACAAAAGTAATAAAAACTAGCAAAAACCAAAAAGCAAAAACAACTAAAATAACAAAAACATCTTTGAAGGTGAAGACAGCAGGCGCGGAGACCAAGGTGTCAGCGCGGTTGTAAAACATAAACCACCGGAAAACAAAAACAAAGCGCGAATGGGTTAGTCGGCGAAAAAGCTAATAAAATAAGGAAAAAAAAGTGAGGTGAGAGATAAAAGTAAAACCAGAAAAAAATTAAATTTACAAAGAAAGACTTAAAACGCTTACAACAAAAGCAAAGCGCTGGTCTACATATGTTAATCGCAGGCAGATTCATACTTAAGCTGGCTGAGGCAAAGTAAGTCAGTGACTTTGGTTTCGCGCTTGCGCGTGAAAAAGGCTAAGAAATTAGAAAAAACACAATTGTTACAGAAGAAGGAAGAAACAATAAAAACAGGAAAATTAAAAAACAAAATAAATAAATAAAAATTAATTAAGTAATACCCAAAAAAAAAAATGTTAATAAATAAGTAAAGTTAAAATAAA